CCGTGGCCCATGTAGGCACGGTTCTGAAAGCTACAAAAAAACAAATCATTTTTCAATGTGAAAATTTTAGAAAATGAACAACTAACTATAGTTAGCTATTTTAGTGAAATTTAATAGTAAAATCTTTAAAGAATTTCTAGAATATTTCCAATGGCGTCATGTACTAAAACTCCTATGAATTAAATGCACTTGAATAAATTAATAATTCTGTATAATGCGCCTGGAAAATCGTGTTTATTTTAAATACTCCAAATACCGCTGAAAATGGAGAAGACAAGTTTCGACTAAAACAACAAGATTTGTTTTTCTTGGTATACATTTGTTAATTAGTTTTAATCAAAAAAAAATTTGCTCAGACGTTTTTTTTAACATTCTCTTTAATATGAACACAACATGTCTAGTTATGTAAAAATGCGCATTAATTTTAAAATCAACCAATAAAAAGTTTTTTTTTTAGTTGATTTTAAAATTAATGTGCGTGTTTTTACAGACCATTAGTAATATTTTTCATAATTCTAAACTTTTTATACAGTATGTTTTTATAAAGTTGTTTAAGTTCCTTAATAAGTTTTAAATATTATTTGAATATCCACTTTTTTCTAGTTGCTTTTCTACTTCAATTAAAATTTGGAATTTCTTATGTTGTTTGAACAAAGAATGAATTATAAAAGTTATAAGTGTGTTATAAAAGTAACAAACTTAAGTTGATTTGCTGCTTAAAAAACAAATTACACGGTTTTGCATAAACTAAAACTTTAAAGACCAAATATTGTTCCAGATTTTGCATTTTGCGATCACTTAATTCAACTTTTGAACTACTTTAAATGCTTTTTAAAATTATTTAAAATAATTGCAAGGAATAAAATCTTTACAGATCAAAATTTATTTTTGTTAATAAACACACTTTTATGTAGCAAACTGTCTGGTTGTCCTGCCCAGCTACTGGCAGGCATTTTTTTTAAATTTCAGTCGCCCTTGAAGAAAACAAATTGTCCCGTGCCACCAGACAACCATGAGGTTGTCTGATCTTGTTTCTGTAGCTTGCATGGGTGCCCGCAGGATTTTTTGATGTTTCAGATAGGACACTTTTACACATTGTGCAAATTCCAAACTTAAGTATGTTCATACCTATGCCAAATGAGGAGGCTTTGCAAAAATTTGGGATGGCGAAGTCCTCTGAACAATAAAAGCCCTAAAACGCTTGCCTCCCTGTTCAAACGTGAAGACACTGATGTAGTAAAATTTTCAACTTTACTATCTTAAACTAAATTTAAATTTATCGACAGATTTTAAATTTCGTAGAAAAATATTGTAAATTACAAAAGTTATGACCATGTAAATTTTTTTTTTTTTCAATTTCAAATTTAATCACAAAATTATTTGAATATAAGAATTTTAGAAGACTAAAATTCTTTTGTTCAAATAGATTTCTTTTTAAATAAAATTTCTAAAAACAATTTGCGTATTTATAGAAAATGTTTGATCTTGCTATTGCTCTAAATAAAATATAAAAAATGGTATTACGTTTTTTATATTTTATTTGAGATTTCTTGTTAAAATAATTTTTAGTCAGAAGCTTATATTATGTGTTAACAACATAAGATATACATAGAAACATTTATATGGTTAACTTTTGCGAGTCTTTGAGTATATTAAGTAAATTTAATAGTTGTAAGTTTCTGTAGTAATTAACTCGTTGTTATGATTTAGTTTAAAAGTAAATTTATTGTGATGTACTTTATCCACTCAGTAAATCAAACTAAATATAATTTTAAAATAAAATTGGCCTCCACGCAGAGATTTAAAGTAACTTAAAATCAAAAGCGCTTTATGTTGAATAAAATCTCAACGCAAGAGAGAAAAGATCATACTTCTATTCAAAAGATAAAATTAGCCTAATAATAAAATTTATGACCCCTAATAAAAAAACTTATACAACAATATTACTTTTAAGAATGACTAAAATATTAGGTGTTGCAGAAAAAAGCTTCAAAAACAGAGGAAGCAAAGCTAACAAAAAAGGAAATTAAAATTAACTTATATAGAAGAAAAAAAAATTATTAATTTAAATAATTTGTGTAATGTTCTTATTTTTGTTTCTTTAGAGTGGTTGTTATTTTCAGTGAAGAAATTCTATTAGACAAAGCAAAAAAAAAAAAAAAAACAGTTTTAAGTTGACATTAGAAAAAATGATTTTCCTGTATATTATTTGTTTTTTTTTGAAGAGAAAAGCGAAAATATAAAGTGTCATCTGTTTGTAAAATATATTTGTATAATTCTAATGAAACAAGTATATATTGTCTCTATATGAAAACGTCTGTTATGCATGCATATAATTTTATGTATAACTTTTTGTATTATACGATTATATTTATTTGTTCCTAAGTATACACACATTTAGCTTATGTGAATAAGACGTTAGGTTCATAAACAGGATGTCTGTGGTTTGATTCCTTCAACTGCCCAACACTTTTTTTTTCTTTTAAATGCAGCTGGTCATATATTTGCTTTGTAACAATTTATCTTTTCTTATTTGTATGTTAAAAAAATCTTTTTGTTGTATGTTTTTGAATGATACATCTCATCACATTCAGATTTCTTATACCATTTAAGCCTTTCAGTATTTTTTCTAAGTAAGATGCACACGCATATATACATTGTTTTTAAGCTTCAATTAGGCAATAATGTCTACACATTTTTGACATAGCATAGTAACTTATTTTTTATTGTTTCATATTGTCTTTCTTTTCTTTATTGTCATATTGTCTTTCTTTTCTTTATTTCATATTGTCTTATCTTTTCATATTGTCTTTCTTTCGTTTTTTATTGTTTCATATTGTCTTTCTTTTCCTGTATGTTTTTTATTCCTAATCTTTTAGCACAGACATGTTTCTTATTATCATTCGGCTCTGTGCAAGTGTAAATTTACTAAAACATTTTTGGAAGAGGTGGGTTTTAAACCATGGACATTCCATTTATGAAGCAAACACCTTATCCAAATAAGCTAAACGTGTGCATACTAGGGACAAATAAATATAGTTATATAATGCAAAAAGTTGTACATAAAAGTATATGCATGCATAACATGGATGTTTTCATATGGAGACAATATATACTTGTTACATTAGGATAATACAAATATATTTTACAAACAGATAATAATTTATATTTTCACATTCCTCTTTAAAAAGAAAAATAAATAAAATATAGGAAAATCATTCTTTTTAATGTCAACTTGAAACTGTTTTTTTTTTGCTTTGCCTTAACTAATTTTGTTGCTAAAAATAACAACCACTCTAAAGAAACAAAAATAAAAACATTACACAAATTATTTAAATTATGATTTTATTTTTTATTTTTTTCTATTTGAACTTATTTCAATTTTTTATTTTGTTAGTTTTGCTTTTTTTTTTTAAACTTAGTTTTTTCTGCGATGAATAATATAATAAAACTTGCAAATGGCTGTGACCAAGTTGTCTAAAATAAAATACTCATGTTTGGTCATGCAAGACAAAAAACTGCACGCGTTTCCTAAGAAGGCTCGAATACTATTATCATATTTGGGCTGGTTTTTCTAATAATTCTCTTTCTCTTCTAAAAAAGGTACAAAATGCATTGTAAACATCGTCGGATCCGCCCTAACTGCTAAACCTTGAGTCTTTTTCCCATCGTCGAGAAGTTGCATCTCTTTTTCTTTTCTATAAATGCTATTATGCTCGCTGTTCAAGGGAGCTATCAACTCTAGTTCCATCAACTAAAACTCATTCTTATTTGACTTGTCATTTAGCAAAGTCTTATTCATTTGCTGTATCTGTCCCTGCATGCTCTAAAAATTTATTTGTATAGTTTTTTCCCCAGCACTTTAATTCTTTGGAACTCTCTCCCATCTCCATGTTTTCCTGACTCATGCAACCTTTAACTTTTTAAGTCTTCTGTCAACTGTTTCCTTACTCTATTACTCTATTCTTTGTTTTCTAGTAACTCTAAACTTAATAACGCTTGCTTTTGACCTTGTTGGGGGTGAATCAGAATTAAAAAAAGAAGCTTATGATTCAAACTTTATCAACAGCCATCACTCTGCTCCATGCAGAAAATTATGAAGTAGGGTTTGGCATGATTAGAAAGTAACAAGAAGGATTAAAAGTTTTCATGCCTGTCTGAATCCTTTTGATCCTGCAAGGTCTGTGGTCATTATACTTGTGAAAAATGGTTTAAAGAAAATGTCTAAAGGTTTAAAACAATTCAAAGGACAACAGTATTAGTTTCTACAGTATTTTCAACATATGGTGTAAATTTTTTAAGATAAAAGAATTGGTTTAAATGTTGTTTTGTAGTGTAGAAAATTTTTACATGATGGCTATTTTTACTTGTACTTATAGCCAACTTCTAAAAACCGCCAGCATTTTTTTAGATTTTTAATTCTTAAAAAAGTCATGTTGTTTTTGTTGAAATACAACTATCATTTAAAGTTAGATGATTTGGAAATATAAGAGTTTGTATCATATAAAATTTTTATATGATCTAAATGAATTCATTTCAAATTTGTGGGACATAATTTTTTAATTATTCTTTTTACCTACAGACTTTAAATTCCTAGTAATAAGTTACTGTACATAACTTAGTAAATGTTACTATTTTTTGTTATTCGAAGGTATGAAGTTTTCTATTTTCTTTTTTATCTTAAATCAGTAAAAATCTAACAGTCCTCTATTTGTGGTGTAGTGGTAGAGCGCTTGCTTCATATGCGAGAAGTTCTGAGTTTGATCCCCACCACTTCTATCAAGTTCCACACTCAAATTGTTTCTCTGTGCAGCAGCCTTGTTTGTCAAGGTTCGTGTTTCAGAGTAATAAAGTTAAAAGAGGGTTGTAATCACAATTTAAGTAGCCTCCTCGACAGTAGTGGCCTTCTCGGCCTTGAGTAGGTGAATTAACTATTTATTTTTTTTAAATTTTATAGAAATATTTACATTATTTATTTGTTAATATTAATTTTTTTACAGATGTCATCAAAACAAGTTCTGAGGACTTTCAACATGTCGATGATGTCTATGAAGCTGTTGGCGCTGTTTTGCATGAAGCAATTGAATCTGAAGATGAACTTTTAATAAAAAATATTTGTGAAGGAATTATAAATATATTAAAAAGGTGAAGGTTATTATTTTTTTACTATTACTAATTTAATGGAACAAGTAGCATGTACACATGTTACTTGTTCCATTAAGTCAGGCATTTGTAGACTTTTTTGATATTGTAAGTCAAGCTTATACTTGGAACTAGAAATAAAATGTGTTGTACTTTTTTTTTTTCAGGGATGAATTAAGCAGCAAGATAAGTTATGTCAAAATACTTAATGCCCCTATCCACATCGGTGATCGTATCAAGGAGTCTGATCAAGACTTGGGATCTGATCAAGACAGCATATGGCTTAAACAAAGTTCTTATGAAACTGCTTTGGTAAAATTGATTATTTAAGTCTAAAAAGTATTATTTAATTAAAATACAATAAAATTCACATACATTAACAGAGATTAACATTGAATTATATTATGCATAATGAGATGTTTATGTTAATTTACTAAAAAAAAGCTTAAAAACAAGCCAAAGCACTTAAAATACAAAAGTATAGAGGATTTACACAAAAATTAGAAATTATGTGTAGGAAAATATTATGATGAAAGGAAAATGAAATACTGTCTAGGTCTTGAAGCTTTTTTATGATTATCAAGCTTGCCAGGGAAGTGCGTTAAAGTAATTTTTTAGGCCGAGGCAGTTCGCATCTTTTTTCAATAGTTCACATTTCAATAATTCGCATCAAAAAGCTATATTTATCTACTGAGAAAAAAGCCAAATCAAAAAAAAGGAAACAAAATTGTAACAAAATATCAAATTTTAATTAAATAAAATAGAAAAATTTAAAAAAAGAAAATAAATAAAAAAAATTTTTTTTAATAAAATTTTTATACAATTTTTGTATTCTTTTTTTAAGGTAGTTATTTTAGGTAGTTAAGGTGGTTGTTAATTTTTTTAGGGTGGTTGTTATTTTTTTTAGGGTGGTTGTTATTTTTAGTTACCCAATTTGATACCAGTTAAGAAAAAAAAAATTGTATTTTATAACAATTTAACAAAAATATACCTCATTTTTTATACATATACCTATAACTTATATATATACCTCATTCAACTCATTTTTAGTTCAGCAGAATATTAAATGTTTGGTGCGATGTTCATAAAAGTTCATGAAAATTTTGAGCAATTGATGAAAAAAATGTCAATGTTTCATTTTCACTTGTATAACTCTATAACTCTATATACTGCATAGCACAAATAAATTATAAAAACAAATAATATAATTACGCAATTCAATACGCATAAATTGCGTACTGAAATTGCGTTACTTATTTAAAAAAAAAGGTAGATTGATAGAGTTATAGTATTTTAATTTGTTCTGATCATTCTTCAAAAAAAGATCACGTCATGAGTAAAAAATATTTATTTTGTGGTACAATTCTTTGCCACAATATTTAAAATATTTTTCAGACCACTTAGAAAAGGTTTTAAATATAATTTTGTTTTTTTATTGTACAGGCTATTTCCATATGTACATTTTAGTTCTTAATTACCCAATACAGTGTGCTAAAAGGTTATTAACATAACTGTATGGTAAGCCACAAATGTCATATAATTACTAACCTTTCACACACGTATATATATAAACACACACAAACACATACACACATATGGGTGATATGTAATACTGAAACACGTTATCAACTAGCCTGATTATGCACGCTCGGCATTAAATCTTCGAGAGAGATATTCAAAGTTGGAAATTGGTTGCCATGGGGTATCTATAAATTATGTATGCAAGTATGAAGACAGGGTCACTCAAAAGCATACCAGTCTGTACAAGGAAAAGGGTGGGCGATTTTTTGTTTGAATTTTTTACATGTGAAGTTCGGGAAATCAGACAAAAAAGCTTTAGTTTTTTAGTTAATGTATTTGTTCATCTCCCCGAAAAAATGTTATTGCAGCTTTGATATTAAATTTACTAAAAGTTGACAATATAACTTTGTTTTCTATTGGAGTTAAGATAACATGCTTGATTGTGGACATTCTAAACAACAGAAACGTTTTTAATTTAATTTATAATAATAGTTAAAAATAAAAAAGATTAGGAATATTTCTTTTATTTACAAAAGATGTGTGAAAAATTAAAAACAATAAAGCAAAAGAACCTTTTGTTTTTACAAAATCTTGTGGATTAAAACTTTAAATTTTTCAAAATTCAATCAAGTTTTATTATTTTAATTTAAATTTTCTATTTTCATTGGGACAAAAAGTTTTGAAAATAGTAAATATTCCATTCTATATGTTAGCAGTAATGACTTCATAACTTTTTATTCGTGGTTTTTACAAAACAGAAAACTATTTTCTAATTAAAACTGAATGCGCCATTTAATTATTATGAAGTGAATAATATTTTATATACTTGATTATATA